AAAGGGGGGTTTTACTCACCCCTCCACAGCCACTGAGTGCCAGTGGAATACCTGGTTCTGAGACTTCCACCCACTGCAAATTTCATCTAAGCTCTATCTGCCATATGAAGTGTTGATAATGCAAGCGAGAGCCTCACTGAGCACAGAGGGCTGAAGTTCAGAGGCAGTTGCAACTCTTTGAACAGCCAGGAAGATGCTCTCTTCAAAATGACAGTCATCAGGGACATGTTAGGAGGATGCCTCGTGCTCCTGCTTAGGTGAGGAGAGCTTGCTATGCTGTGTGAATCTCTTCATTTTTTCCTTTGTATGCTTTCAATTTCTGGGAGGAATCGAGCCGTGTGCTGCAGAATTTCATGGGTACCTTGGCTAGCAGGGATTTGTTTTCATTCGGTCATGGTTTCTGTAGCTTCATTCAGTTTTTAAAGAGCAGAGGCTGTGCTTCAACTGAGTTAGGTGCTGCCTAGATCTTAACTGTCTTGTTGGTCCCTGTTACGCTTTTCAGGGATGAAAATACTGAACATTTTTAATTGAGATGTTTGTATAAAGGTAAATCCTTGAAAAAAATAAAAATGCTTATAATGGTAACGGAGGAAATGATTTAATTGAACTAATTCTTTATTGTTCCAAAAGTATCCAGACTGATTAAACTCACGCGGTTTTAGCAAAACAAAGAGCGAGCATCAGTGAAAATGGGTGAAATGTGTAGGATGAAGTTAGTTAAAATACTTTCCAGTCAAAAAGCTTAAACTAAATGTTACCCCAGATTTTCCAGCTAGTCACCCTTCAGGAATTTTCCAGAGTGAAATAATGAAGTATCAAGACTATGTTTAGACAGAGAGGAGCAAAAGTTTAAATTAAGCAAGAAAAGAAGCAAGCAGTTACTGGTACCTACTCATCCTCCAAGCTGTTAAAAATAAGTTTTGCCTTCTTAATTCTGAGCTGTGATCCTTAGGAGGCTCTGAACACTGGAAATCAAATATCCAGTATTATTTCTGCGGGCATCCAAACAAGCTCTCATGGCTCTTGCAGAGCGTTTATGAGCAGTGAACTGGCTGCCCTGTGTGTTGGTTGCTGGATCACATGCCACAGCAGTAGATTGGCAAGGGGGCACTGTTGGGAGACTTGGAAGCCAGGCGAATATTGAAGACTGGGTTTTGGAAAGCAGACCTAAAACTGGAAGATGTAGCTGTGAACCGTGTGATTAGAAACTAAGACAAGTCTCTAGCTGCAAAAGCTAAAGGTGGTTCAGCAAGACATAGAATCACAGAATGGTTTGGGTTGGAAGGCACCTGAATGACCATCTAGTTCCAACCCCCCTTATGCTCTAAGGCTGTTTTCCAGCTTGGTCCCCTTTGAAACTGGGACTGCTGGGACAGGCAGAGCTAAACATCCCATCCCAAGTGAGCAGGCAGCGCTGCTCCTCAGGGCCAGAAATGCAGCACAGCACTTTCTGTATCTACAGATCCACTTTATTCACCCTGTGGGCAGACAAAAATGTCCTCAGGGAAGTGCGTGCTGCTTTGCAGTGATTGTTCAGCATATTTGGGGTTAAGATGATTGGTTCCTTGTTACTATTTCTATATATTTTCATGTGCTTCCTGAATAGATTTTGCTCACTGCTGCAATGCCAAGGCTTTACTGAAATAAAAACCTTCACTCGATTTTGTACTGAGCAAGAGGTTCCTGCACACGTGAAATCCAGTCTTTTCAACATGGAAGAGACCGGAAAAGTACTGCTCAGGATGCTGCAGTTCTCTGAAATATTCTTTATCATACAATGTTCTGCTTTGCAGTGGCCTCAATAGGTACATATGTCAATGATACAAGGGTTTTCCTTGTTTTTATGGGGAGGAGGGAGGTTTCTGGGGCTGAAGGGAGGAGGAGCTGTGAAATGGAAAGCAAACACTGAATCCTATTTCTCTGCTGCCAGCACTCTTCTGTTTCGGTGCCCCTTTGCCAGGGTGGCACCAGGAGCAGAGCCTGACAACTTAACCAGCCTCCAGGCAGGGAGGGCTCCCCAAGCCTCCCACCCCTGAACTATTGTCCCTCTGGAAGGGCTGGTTGTGCCTTGAGTGAGTTAAGGCTGTTAAAGCCCTGTAATGAGTGTGTTTATCAGCTCACAAGCTGAGACACAGCTGTGCGGCCAGGATAATTCACACTGGCCTGTATATGCTGAGACCACAGCACAGTCTCCCCTAGCCCATCACCCCTGTGCTGCCGGATCCCTCATCAGCACCATTTTACCCAGGTCAGCTGTAGGCACATAGATACCCAAATATCAGATCAAAGCTCTTTTTGTAAAGATTAAACTTTATGATGGGTGCCACCTCATTCAGCATAAAACCTGCCTGTGCAAGGTTAACTCATTATAAAGTAGTGTAAAAAGACCCATCCTGGAGGCAGATGTTGGGAGTGAGAAGCTCTGCTTCTGCCAGAGCTGCTCATCAGCCCTTCAAGTACCTCTGGAGATGACATCTGTTCTGTGTGAGCAACATCTCCATCCTCAAACATGGTAAAGCAATCATTTAATTAGTATGAAGAGGGCCAACAATTCCTCCTGAGCATGTTTGAAATAGATAAGCTCAATGTGGGGAGGAGGAAGATGTTTTTTGGGTCTAAATTCCCCGCTTTTTGTTTACACCTACACAAAGATACCACGTCCAAATTTAAACCCTGCCTCTTGCCTACTGCTTCTCCCTGCTCTTTAGACTGTCACTGTATCTACATACACAGATATATAGAAACCAGTTTCCGCATTACGAACATGTGAGTGACATGCATTTATTTTGGAATGTATAGAAACACATAGATGTGGATATGACTGATAATTAAAAAAAAAGAAAAATCAAACTTAGTCATAAATTCTAACAACAGTGCTGCCAACCACCGGCATTTAAAAGTCACGAGTCAGCCTTCACGAAAACATGTGTTATCTTTCAGAAAAATAATATGTGTCGAGTTATTTATCTTCTGCTTTTCTGATTCTTCAAAATGCATTTAAATCATATTTTCAAGCCTTTGTTCTCAATCGTGAAGTAGAAAAACTTACTTTTAGGGGGAGAAAAAAGCTGAATTTCTTACACTGGCGTAACTCCAGGAACCAGGACTTGAAGGGAAAAAGCCCAAACAAATATAACATGTGAACCATACTAAAACTGTAAGAGCTGGCAACACTTTGTCATAATAGAGTATTTTTATACCAAAACAACTGTGTGTGACAGGGATAAGTTTGGCCACCATCACGTTCCACTTCCTTTTTCTCACATAAACTCTTTGGTGAAGCACCAGCCTGCAGTGCCAGCCCCTATCATGGAACAGCTTTTGGTAGATGTATTTTCTAAGGCTGAGACAGCCGGAGTGCTCGGGGTCAAAATCTGCTTTGAGCAATGTCTGCAGAGTCATATTTACAGATTGCACTAACTAGATATCAAAGCTCTGGCACCAGAGATAGCTGAAAGTAATATGAAAGAAGTCTCTCGTTGAAAGAAAACTGATGTAGAAGGGCAGAGGGAAAATTCATTAGCTGGTAGTGAAGAGAATAATGGGGTTTGGAGCTGATTCTTTAGGCTTTTTCCAACATCAGCAGCTTTAGTAAACAGAAGAGGTAATATTTAAGGGGAGTAATTCTATTGGGAAATGTTTCCCAGTTTTCAAATCTGCACATCAGTAGCTGCGTGCAGCCGCCTCCAGGTGTATTCCCTGCCTCCATCTATCAGGATATGGGATTTGATCTCACCAGCATCCCTTGAGTGTAATTAAAATTCTGAATTCCTGATCCTGCCTCAGCTTCCTAAATGCAGGATGTATATCCAGAGTGAGGAACACACTCCTAAGGACTTAGAAATGATGAAAGGAAACATGCCCACACCGTTTTGCTTTATTAACTCTCACACCACTTGTCACTTGGTGTCACTTGGTCTTCAGGAGGCAAACAGGGTTACTCTCCTTCACCTTTACTTTTTCTCTCTCTAGTCTTTTTACTGTACATGTGCACCAAAACTAGGGCCATGACCAGATGAGGTTTTGGTCATTTTATCTGGAGTCTCTGTTCTTTGAGGTGATCACAAAGCCCTGCTTGCACTCAGAAGGTTTCTAGCCTGATAGCATCCAAATGATAAAGCATTTTCAATGAGCTGAGGCTCAAAACAGAGAGCAAATAAAAGCATGAAAATATATAGTGTAAAATTTACTTTAAAAATCAGTCCTGTGTAGTCTGGGTTTCATAACTTCTAACAGGAGTGTCATTGATAATTCTGTATCATGTGGCTTTTTGCAGAGAAAAGAGAAATGGCAAGTAAAGAAACTTGTAGCAGCCTCCACAAAGCACCAGAGGAGGTTTTCTTTACTTCTTTAAAATGAGCTAATGCAGTGAAACAAAGGCAAAAGACCCTATTTGGTCAAATAATCCCTTTGGCTGCAGCACAATCCTTTTAACGGAAAACCAGCGCTGTAAATAACTGGAGTAATTTATCAGGAGATTAAAGAAAATAACCTCACTTTCTTTCCTGAAAGAAAATAAGCTAAAATATCATTGACAGATGGCAATTTGAGGCTCGAATACTTTATTACAGGCTGATGACACCATTTTCTCTCTCATATTTACAAGTATGGCAGGGTACCTTTCATACAGCTGAATCGAAAGAGCCTCTTTAGCCGAGTGCTGGGGTTTGGCTTGTTCTCCCCCTTCTCAGACAAGAGAAAAATACTCACTGTAATGTCACAATAAATCTGGTATTTATGAAAATGAGAGCAAGAGCCTCAGCCAAGCCAGGCTCAGCCTCTCCCACTGAAATGTAATCTTCCTGCACATATATCTCAGCCCGTGCACTCTGTGTCTGATGGAGACAAGCAGCAGTCAGCGGAGCCCCACTACCCCTTTCCTACAGCCTGCCACAATTACGCTGCTACATTTGGTGTTATTATGAGTCAATATCTTGTGAGAGCCAAAGGAACTCCTTCTCAATAGTGACCTGAGCAGCAACAGAAGCTCTGATGTGGGGACTGCAGAGAACCACTTGGACCCATGGCACTACTGTGGCTACAGAAATTTGCTTTCAAAGATGCATTTCATTCTTTCTATTCTGGAGACTATTACAGAGATGTCATAGATTGGAGAGAAATGAGAATGAAAGGGGGACAGCTTGTTTGCAGCAGAGTTTCTTATGCTAAGCAAATAAGCTTCTGTGATACTTGGTCCAACAGTGAGTCCTTCCTCTCCCCTACACTCAATCTTTCAGGACCTTTGACCATTTCATCCTGATGTGACCAGCTTCCAAGCCGAGGGCTGCAGGGGCATCGAAGCATCTGTGTGAGTGGTTTGGCACTGAGAAAAAAACCAGCTTGCTTTTCAAATGAAAAAAGAAAAAATTCGAAGTATTAATAATAATTCAGTTGGTAAATGAATCTGGTTGGGAACAATCCACAGGTGCCTGCATACATTAGATGGATGCCTTATCCAAGTAATTCAGCTCTAATCCCATCCTGCAGACAATTTCAGCTGTGTTGCTGGAAGAGATGTTGCTGAACTATTAAGCACAACTTTGAACCCAACTAGTTAAGCCTCTGAGTCTCTGTTAAATGAGTGAAAACCTCACGGCTTTGTGGGATTGTACCTCTTTGAGTTTGTTAGCATCCTTCTGTACAGCCATCATTTAGGTACCATTGTACTTGCAGTTGTACTGAGGAATGCTGTCCAGAAGATGCTCACAGCTGGAGATAATAGTGAGCAATTGAGGGCAAAACTAGGGAGGTATACTTGGAAAAAATAGTGTTATTTCTGCTCTAAACTGGCCAGCCAGAAAAGGCTGGGAGGAAAGAGGGCAAGTCATTAAATCCAAATCTTGGCTGATAGAAGATAGCTGTATCTTTTCTGGCTGAATTTGTGAGGAAGGAAAAAAGTCAGTAAAACACATTTCCAGCAGCGCTGCTGTGCACCATCGTTGCAATTACTTAGCAAAGAGGTGGTTTAGCCTAAATAAATACTGTACTAACTTTGATAATGGTTCTTTTAATTTGTATAGGTTCAATGGCACACTAAGGGCTATGGGCACAATTATTTCTCAAAGAATAGATTCTCTTTTATGAGCCCATATACAGGATTTCTTTTGCTTTCATCCCAAGGATAACAGAAAATAGCAGAAGCTTGACATAATAATAGAGTTCAAGTGCCTTAGCAGTACATCTACTCTCAAAAAACAATAAAAAAGCTAAAGCTAATGTACTTTTCTATGTGCATGGCACAGGCAGGCCATTTTATAGCTTTTGCAAATCAACAGACTGTTGCCTCTCTTGTCCATCAATTGAGGCAGCTTTGGGATGATATAATGCCGTTGATTCAAATCTGATCAGCTGCTATTGCCTAATTATACAAGCAAAACAAATGCAGACTGTTTAAGGTAGAAGGGGGTGGTGGGAGGGGGAACTGCCATAAAACACTGAGGGAGAACTGTCTTCTCTTTTCAAACATGTGGTAAACCCAGAGAGTTGTTTTCCCCTTAAACAGGAATACTGCGGCCATGATTCCACAGACCTATTTACTTTTCATAATGTGCCAGTCTGCATGCAATAAAACTGTCAGGCAGAGCTCAAAAGCAATAAATATAAGGGAATCTGTTATTTAACAGGCCAAGAATCATCTGTACAGTGTCACTATGTATTCAGAGTGGTGCTCTTGGAAAAAGTCATTTTGCAAAATGACAATCTGTGTTGCATCTATTTTCATCCCCCTTCCCATTCCCGTCCACTTGATTTTCTCGGCAGGAGCAGGGAGATTTGTCCATCGCTGCTCTGCTGCCAACGAAGCAGGCACTGACCCTGCCCCATGCACCAACACAGAGGGAAGGGAAGGAAAGGGCAGAAAGCTGTAGGCAAAAAACTCCAGTGCATGAGTACCTGAATGCTTACATGCTTCAGATTCTCCAGCTCACAGAAGGCACTGGATGCAGTGATTTCAGCCTGAAAGAGATAAGTCTACAGTCTGGGACTGTTACATCCCACCACCAAGGTCTGTATGTTCAAAGAGCTTTTACCAGCTCTTCAGGACAAATACTTGAACTGTTAAGCATGAGCTCAGGCGCAAGGACAGAACAGCCCTGGTGTTGCTGTCCAGTGGTTTTGTGCAGTGCTGTTCTCATTATGTCTGTGTATCGGTGGAGGGTTATGTGATCCCTAAGTTGCTGTGGGTAACATAATCACATTTGTTTTGAAATACCCATTCTGAGTGCTGGGTACCAGATGAAAAAAGACATTTAGAGCTTAGCAAACATCATTCTCAGGGTGTCTTGCACCCCATGAGGGGAGGAAAAGCAGCTACTGGAAGGAGAGAGTACTTTTGGATGTTCTCCTGTGGAACAAAGCTGCTGCCAAGCCTCCTATCCAGCTAATGATCTCACTGCTGACATGACATCTTGGAAGCCTTTTAGCCCCAAAAGAAGCATAATGACCCAGCATACCGACAGTACAGAACTGCACTTACACTGAATTTTGCTATTCATTTTCTCCAAATACCACTGCTGCCATAGTAGGAAGGGATTTGCCAAAAGGAACAGGAAAAAGCCAATTACCAAGCTTCATTCTTCTGTCATACTCCCAGACTGGTTGTGATTTACTCTTTGGAACACCTACAGAAGTTTAAAACACAGTGCAGCATCTGTCCAACCCCCTTTTGTGAAAATAAATAGACTCCTGAAAAATCCAGATGAGTGATATTAGATTTGACAATGGTGAATGTGGGAAACAACCAGGCAGAACAGAGATCTTAAAACAACCACCACCACAGCCTGGCTCAGGAATCATCTTTATTTATGTATTATGATTATCAAGTGATACAGTTACTGGATAGATTGTGATCTATCTGTGGTCACAAACAGCCAGGTGCATAGATGGGCTGGAGATGTGGCCATTTGATTCAGGACTTTTACAGCCACTTGGAAGGCCTGTTTTGTTGTGAGAGCAGCAGCAGCCCTATAAATAAGTTATTGATCTTAATTTGTGGACAGAATATTGTTTAATCTTTGCAAACTACTTCTTGTTCCACTGTATAAAGTCAGTGGAAGGAAATGAAAGCATCAAATATCTCCTAATTTGAGCTGGGTTAAAAATCTGCCAACAGTGACATCTTACCCTTCAAAACCAACAGCTAGTTGCTATGTCCCATTCTCTTATATTGAGTTCCTTCTAACAGAAATCCTCCATAGAATCATAGACTCATAAAATGTTTTGGGTTGAAAGGGACCTCAAAGCTCATCCAGTTCCAGCCCCTGCCATGGGCAGGGACCCCTTCCACTAGAGCAGCTTGCTCCAAGCCCCTGTGTCCAAGCTGGCCTTGAACACTGCCAGGGATGGGGCAGCCATAGCTTCTCTGGGCACCCTGCTCCAACATCTCACTAGAAAGGCTAGGGTTTAACTGGGTTCAACTGACACCTAATAAACCAAGTGAATAGTTTTGGCTTAGCTTTGCCTCAGCTTGGGACCTTCTGTGGGGGTGTGGGGCAGCAGACAGGCTCTTCCATCAGTGCCAGCGAGTCCCTGGAGCGGGTGAGGGGGTTTACATTTGCAACTGCTTTTGCAGTTTTGCCATAAACAGCCAGTGTCTTGAAGACGTGGGGCTGGGGAAGCTGAAGTAGCTGGTGACAGAGCTGCATTGCTGAGGTGCCAGGGGACCGCCTTCCCCATTGGGGTGCACACTGCTGCTCTCCACCATTGCCACCAGCTCAGTGGTCGGCCCTGCTCCCTGCAGCAGGCAAGATTCAACATGACCTATACTTCATGGGTTTAAAAACCCCATAAACCAGGCACTGAACCCACCCTCTGCAGGGTTAACATGCTCAGCCAGTTTGTTCTAGTTGCTATTTAAAAGTCTGAGTAGAAAACTGCAGTTTGGACCTGGTCTTTTGGTTTATACATTGACGTCGTATGTAGGGAGTAGAATGAATCTATTACTTCTACTTTATTGCATTTATTTATTATTGCATTTTACTTAGAGTCAAGATGGAACTGAATACTGGAAATGAAAGGCTAGTGTATTCCCACCACAGCATCCAGCCTGCTTTTTGCAGCCACAGTACCAGCTATTACAATACCACATTTTCAAGTAACCTTGCAATGCAGAAAATTTCTGTTGAGAAAAGCATTTTCAAATTAACCTTTGGAATTATGGCTGCTCACAGCCTTTCCCCAACTTGACTCAGGGAGCAAAGCCTGTCTCCCCTGAAACTCTATTGAAAATGCTAGCAAAATAAACCCATTACAGCTATAACAGCTCAAATGAATGTCAACATGGCAGGACATATGTCTAATTTCAGTTTGGAGACTTGAAGATTGGAATCTTCATTATAGGCACCATCAGCTGTTTCCAAACAGCCTTCAGGTCTAAAGAGATTCATTTGAAATGAGGAACATCAAGGCAGAGCACACAGAACTGTTCAGATGGCGCATTAATTTCAGTCACTTTGCTAAGGCTATGATTATCATCACTGTGGATTCAGTAATTTTCTCAGACTTGCTGCTGATGCAGTTTTGTAGGACTTGCCACACATCTTTCTTCTCCGTGACAGACAGCAAGGGAAAACGCACGCTTTGGCCTTCAGGGACTGACGGGGGATGAGGACCTTAGACACAAAACAGGGTGCTCAGCCGGGCCATCCAAGAGCTATTAGAAATCTGTGCCCATCTCATAATCCAGTGGTTGTAATGATTTAGCACAATGGGACCACAGATAAGGACTGCTTGTGCTGAAATGAAACTGAAAATTGAACTGCAAGTATTAAACCGCTCAAATTGTATGTACTTTAGTGAAAAACTGGAACACTCATCTATATGCATTTTGACTCTGGTACATAGAAAAGGAGGGTTGAACTTGTATTACTGAATGGTATTCAGAAACTCCAGCTGGTATTGAAATCCTGTGCATTGGATGATATGTCAACACGAGACAGCAGGCAAGTCTCTCCACAGATTTCCTGCCATTTAACTTGGGATGACACAAAGGAAGAGCACAAACAGGAAAGGAGATGGATGGGAGTGATGTGAGATCATAGAGCTATGCATAACCTAAGCATATGCACGACCTGATTCTTCAGACAGCATGTGTATAATCACTGCTTAATCTTTTCTCTTCTGCCTGCTCTGAATTTTATAAGTATTTTTTGCCATTTTCTCCCTCTTGACATGCAACCTCCAAAAAAAAAGAAGAAAAAATTCAAATTCTCCCTCATCTTCTGATCCCTTTGTCACTCATTGCTTTCAGGACAAGCCTTGTTTTCCTCCAAGGTTATATACATTTGATGCTTCTGAATATAGAAGTTCCAAAGTTCTGGCTGCTGAGCCTCTGTATTCTCAAACAAAACAGTGCTGCTCAGTTTTCTTCTGTCAACTTCAAAAATGGAAACCAAAAAACAACTAAAAATGGCCTTTTTTGACCTTTTGACACAACTGGGCCACAGGGGTGGACTCCACTGCTTGCAAGACTTCTGGGACTCTGGCAAAACTATTATTTCCTGTTCTCAGTGACATTTAAGTTATTCAATGCAAACCTGAGAAAGGCTGATGAGTGTAAAACGGATCTCAGTTGAAACTTCTCACAGTGAAAAGATCTCCTGTACAAGTCCTGCAGTAAAGACCACCAAGATTCCTTCTGAACACATGCCAGAGGGAAAAAGAATGTGCCGTATACGAGGAAAAAAGAAAATATCTGAAGCCCTCATCAAGCCCATGAATCATACTGGAAAGCTGCTTAGTTACGGACATACAGTTTGCTTGAGAGTAGAAGAACAGATCCCCACCACAGCTGGAAAACCACCAGGACAAGCTCCAAGCACTCACGAATTGCTGTAGCGTGTGCATGTGTGCACATACACATCTGTACACATTTGCACATACATATACATATATATATATAAAAGAATGCCAAAAGTCAATGAAGTCATAGAATTAGAGAATGGTTTGGCTTGGAAAGGACCTTAAGATGATCTAGTTCCAGCCCCCTTCCATGGGCAGGGACACCTCAGATTAGACCATAAAAGAAGACAATGGAATTTCGTGTCCACTTGCCATCTCAGTTTCCTCCATTGCATTTACTGGATTATTTGGCTCAAGCTTTAAATCGCTGACTGCTGTTTGCCCACTGGATAGTCAGTGGTGAAGGGAATATTCACAGCACACACATGCAGATTGACCTGTATTTGGTGCATTTCCCACCGCAGTTCTGAATGAATGGAGTAGACTGAAGGGATTTAACTGGGATTTAAGGAGAGATTTCCCAGAACGTCTGCTTGAAAAACGTTTTCTGAAGCAGATCCAAAGGTTTCTTAAGAGCAAGTAATCAGAGACAAATTAATGGGTAAGTTTCACGTGACATGGTAAACGTACATGATAAATGTAATTAATAAGGCACTAGATTAGATTTTCACATTCAATCATGGACAGCAGATAAAGAAGGAAACTGCTCTTCTGTGCCAGGCGCAGGCCAGCAACCAAGGGGCAGTCACAATGCTTACCTTCACCTTGCTCCTGGAGATAAGCCAAGGACTACAATCTTTCCCTGGATATGCCGACATCTCTTGAATCTCCCTTGAACCAGCTCAGCTCCCTTGGCAGTGGCTTGGGAGGAAACCGTGCTCCTTCCCCAAGCCTTTTCCAACAAGTCCTCAACATCTAGAGGAAGCAAAACAATACAGGGAAATACCTGCTACTGCCATCCACAGGCTGGGACAAATCTGAACTTCTCTAAAGCTTTCTCCTTCTTCTTGGACTTTTTCCTCATGTCATTTTTTAACTCACAGATACTAATAAACCAAGTAGGAGTAATTTCAGCTGAACACAACCTAGAGCAGGTCTATTCTGCTCTCATGAGACCCCACTTGCAGCACTGTGTGCAGTTGTGGTATCCTCAACATAAGAAGGGCATGGAGCTGTTGGAGCAAGCCCAGAGGAGGCCACGAGGATGATCAGGGGCTGAAGCACCTCCTGTATGGAGCCAGGCTGAGAACATTGGGGCTGTTCAGCCTGGAGAAGAGAAGCTGCATGGAGACCTCAGAGTAGCCTTCCAGTATCTGAAGGGGGCTACAAGGATGCTGGAAAGGTACTTTTCATTAGGGACTGTAGTGATAGGACAAGGGGTGATGGGTTTAAACTTAAAAAGGGGAAGTTCAGGTTAGATATAAGGCAGAAGTTCTTTATTGTGAGGGTGCTGAGGTGCTGGAACAGGTTGCTCAAAAGAAGTTGTAAATGCTCCATCCCTGGCATTGTTCAAGGCCAGGTTGGACAGAGCCTTGGGTGACATGGTTTAGTGTGAGGCAGCGCTGCCCATGGCAGGGGGCTGGAACAGCATGATCTTAAGGTCCTTTCCAACCCAAACCATCCTGTGATTCTATAATTCTATTATATCTATTGCCATCAGCAAATACTCATCAGGTGAAAAGCAGGGGAGGGGGAGGGGAGGGAGTCAAAGTAGGAAGTAGGGAGTTAAAAAAATGGCCCATCTGCCTGATTTAATATTTTCTGCAAGGTAACGAGGAGTTCTGCATGTGTTGTATCTGATGAGAGTGAAAAGGGCTGTGTGGAACACAAAACTGCCCTGAACACTTCAGCTATGTGCAGATGTAGCATTTCCCATCAAAACACTGCCCAGATTTGGCAAAGGACTGAAGTAAAGACATAGACAGGTTCTTCACCAGGGGAATTTAGAACCTTCAGCTACATGTGCTTATGCAGGCAGAATCCATGCCTGCTGGAGAAGAGTGGGCAGTTTGTTAATATGTGAAGCACAGACACACTTCTGAAGCTTCAGTATGAAACACAACCCTGCAAACAGCACTTCAAATCTCAATTCAAAAACGTACCAACATTTCCAAGCTCATGAAAGTCACTGTAGTGTTTTGAAGGATCCCTGTAAACACTGTGGCCATTTCACAGTTACCTCAGGCTATCTTTTCATCTTTAACGTGCTTCAGCCCTTTAATGTAATATTTAGAGCAATGTTGTTATTAGATTTCCCCTGGATAAAAGGATCTATAAACGTAAATGCCAGTTGCTAATTCGTGGTAGTACAAAATAATAGTATTAGTACATTACACAATAAGAAAAAAAATTAAGCTGGTAATTTATACTGCTGAATTAGATACACTAACAAAAGAGAGAGGCAATTATATACCACAGTAAAATCTTTAGTGCACAGACTTAAGCATTCCTCAGTCTTTAGTGTTCAATTAGGGTGAAATTTACTTTCAATACAAGACATAATGCCAAGGGCTGTCACACCCTCAGTAAGAATATATGATTTCATCTCATCTGCCTCTGTGCAGTCTTGTTTATTCTGGCAAAGCTCAAGGTTTAGCTCTAAAGAACAATTTGATTTGCATTACACATTGCACTAACGGGCTGCAGTGTGCAGATTTATCTGCTGAATGAGTATATTCTAATAGGTCTGATGATCTGTCTTTATAGTGCCATTTGATTAACAACAAATTTATTCACTTGGCAGCTGTATTCCTTAATCAGATATTCATTAAGCAGTAGAATATAAATATGTATAAATGTCAGATTTATGGATCAGAGACTACAATAATTTCATTTGAAGAAAGGTGGATTGTCTATACTTCTAATTAGATTCCCTTTAAATAGGCTCATCATATGCACACATTTGTACATGTCTAGGGCCTGATCTTCAGAGCCAAGAGTGCATGCTAGATTGGACAGCATTCCCTTCCTTGGGAGCTTAATTGGAGTCCTTTGACAAGTCCTTGCAGCCCTACACTGACATTACACTACACAAATATTTCCCTGTATTAGATGGTTTTATAAGGGGCGAGTAATTCACATATCTGCACACACACACACTTTGCAGCTGGCCAATCTCTGGTGGACACACAAAAATAGGTGCTGGCAATGTAAATGCACTGGTGAATGGCAGGAGAAGAAATTACTAATGAGAATACCTTCAGTTAAATGGATCTTGGTTGTGATAATAATGAAAAATCATCATAATTACAAGGGAGAAATATTGTGCCTGTGGAATTCAGCCCAGGCTTTAAAGGTGGGCTAAAGACTAAGTTGACAGAAGTATTTTTACCTTTCTGTTTTGAGCAGATTCTTTAGCAGCCACTTTTATACTTCATGGGAGGCTCGAAGAGAAGAAAAAACATAGCTCTGAAGTAATCCTTGGTTTATCAGGGGTAAGTACTGTTATGTTGGTATCTGTACAGGAGGTAAGAGGACTGGAACTGTCAGACCCCAATTAAAGTGAAAACTGAACTGGCTGTGAAGACACAGGCAGTTCGAACAGTGTTAACGGCCTCTGCTTCTGTGCACTACAGGTATCCAAGCTAAACTTTAGAGCACCTACATCTAGAAGATAAAATTGTCTACCAAGAACTACATAGTCCACATAGGACTGTTCGGAGTCACTATATCACATACCTAAAATAGCATTAATATCCTCAAAATGATCCAGGTCATCACACTTGGTCTAAATAAGTTCTGTGTTTGACTTAAAACTTTCTAGGAAACCTGAAAGAAACCGGGTGTCTAGAAAGGAACATCAACTCTATGGAAGTCCTTCCAGGGAAGGGGAACACATGGCTGACCCCAGCTCTCACGTTCACCAGCTCTGCCTGTGCTGGCACATGCAATCCCCAACGCCATTCTAGTTACTCACTAATCAAAGAGCTGAGTGAGACCTCTTGGATCCTAGGAATTGGGGCATATGGGAAGTGAAGGCAGGAACAACACAAAGACGAGCGCGTTGTTCTCAGACGTGCCTTCTGTGTGAGGCAGGTTTTGTTTCCCTGAGACCAGATCGAAGGCATCAGCTGCTGCTTTCAGCCCTGCACGCTGGTGCAGGTGACAGCCTGATAGAAAGGGAGGCAGATTTATGCCACATGTTTTACTTTAATGAAGTACTAGGCACAAAAAATATGAGAACTGAGATGCGTTCCCCACTGCTTTAAAGTCTTACCGAAGAGTGCTAAACTCCTGTCTTTGTACACTGTAAACACTGTGCTTGCTGAAGCCACATCTTTGCATCTTAACTGAGTAATTTCCCTGTGGTGCATCCTTTTAGTAGAGCATGTCACACACACAGTGTTTCTTTACATGTCATCTATACCCCTGCATGTACTGATACGAGCCTGAAGTAAATCTCCACGAGCAAAAGGAGTTTGAGTACTAGCAAGATTTTCACTGTAATTCATTGTAGAACCGTGTTTTCAGAGCAGAAGGGATTAAAGGTCTAGTGCAGATTCTCTAACTATGGTGTCTGAACATGCTACAGGGAAGATGATGCTCTAACCTTACTTTTATTTCTAGCAGGAATAATTTCAATGAAACGTAGAAGACTACATGCAAGTCTCAGAGATCCTAACCGTGCTCCTGTGCTAATGCAGCTGTGGCTGTATTGCACCCCTGGAGGGGAAGCAAATTTTGCTACACAAAAGTAATCTGTAAATAAGTTAATAGCTACAAATAATTTTTCATGCAGTTCCAGAACAGAAATTAGGACAGGGTTTTATTTATTTATTGAATTACTGATCTATTGTCTTCCAAAAATGCAACACGTTTAGGGAGACTGATCCATTGCCATTTAGTATACATTATTCAGTTGTCTGTTGAGATGGATATGAGAGAGTAGTTCCTTGCAATATTTAAGTCTACTGAGCCCTGCAGATCTCCTCTTCTAATATCACTTGATTTATCAAATCTGATTTGGGATTTACAGCCTATATAGGGAGAGTTCTCAAATTCCTAATCCATTTGGAAACAAGTATCTTCTCTGCTTTGCTACTTCATCTTCCTGACTCACTGACCTGAAGGGCTGAAGTTTTAAACTCATTTAGCAGGGAAAAAAAAAAAAAAGAAAAAGGATTTTATTAGAAGTTTTGACAATTACATATGTCCTGATCTAGACAGTAGATAGAATGTGAGTGCCTATTGGCTGTACCACTAAGCTCAGGCCACCCGTGATGGAAGATGCACAAGACTCGTTGCTCAGCATTCAGAGTTGGAACCAGTTTGTCACCCACCTTGAAAATAAGTTTCCAGTGGCAATTGTCAGGTAGTTGAAATTGCCTTCTAAGAGTTGAAGTTGTGTTGAGGCCCTTCCCAGGGACATTTCAGAGGTGCTGAAAGGAGAACTGTCTACTTTTCCCAAATACGTATTTTCAACCCCTGCTTTGAGAGACACTGTGATATACAGGCCAAGTTGTTCAATATTAATGTCAGCCCACTAAGGGCTCTTAATTTTTCCTGGCCTGTGCTTTTCTGCAACAGAGAGTTTTCTGCTGCAAGTTGTTCCCAGCCTCAATAAGAGCCCCATTTAATAGCTAGCCCATACCCTTGAGCACAGTCAATCCAACACGGCTGCTGCTGCCTTGTCCTGCCTGCTCTAACCACGCTGAGTCACCGTGCTCCTTCTGCCTTCCTTGAGACACTCTTTTCCCATCATCCAAATGCTTTCTTAAAAGCAACTTTCTAAGGCTGCCTGAACTTTTCAGTTGAAATGCACTGGGTTTGAGTGAGTAAAACTCTGTCTTTCAGTTAATGACTTAAAAAAAAAATCCAATAAAGAGAGTAACCCAAATTACAAATACAAAATAAAAGGCCGGTTATTTCTTGCTCAGAGGCAAATTGTGCAACTTTAATTTAACAGAAGATGATCA